TTTATCAAGAAGAAGAAAAACACTCTTAAGAACTATCTAACAAAATTGCAAAGAAGAAGAACACTTAAGAAAGCTTTCAAAACGCTTTTATTTAAGCTTTGATCCTTAGGCAAGATTGGCCGAACTCCGTTATCAAATTGTGTGTTATTTTCTGATTTATTAGGGATTTTTTGCGTAATTTTTTCCCAACAGAATTCAATTCTCTCAAAATCATATCAAAGCAATTCTCATGGTAATATTCTTACTGATCCTTAAAATTTGACACTACTATTATAGTTCAATAAGTTAGAAATTTGAATCTTGATAATTTCTCATTTTGAATTTACAATTCTAGTTCTTAATTTTGGCACTCTTGGAATAATTCAATTTAACATTATATATCAGAATATATTTATCGCTGGAGTGGACACTGGAGCAATAGTCTTAGTCTGGGCCATGGCAGAACTTGTTAGAAATCCTACTTGTTAGAAACCTTATGAGAAAAGCACAAGAAGAAATCAGAAGATTAATTGGAAACAAAACAAAAGTATCTGAAAGTGATATTCACAAGCTTGAATACCTAAAGATGGTGGTGAAGGAAACACTGAGATTGCACCCACCAGGAACACTATTAATACCAAGAGAAACCATATCACAATTCAGCATCAATGGCTATGAAATTCATCCCAAAACTCGAGTCGAGGTCAATGTGTGGGCAATTGGAAGAGATCCTAAAGCTTGGAAAAATCCTGAAGAATTCTTTCCAGAGAGATTTATTGATAAATCCATTGATTTTATAGGGCAAAATTATGAATTTTTACCATTTGGATTTGGGATGGTGGCAGGAAGAGGCTGTCCTGGTTGTTCACAAGGGATTGGCGGTGGAGCTTTGCATTTTGCCATACCTTTTTTTGTTTGATGGAGTTGCTAACAATATGGAGGCAGAGATGTAATATGGAAGAGATATTGGTCTTACTACTCATAAGAAAGAACTTTAATACAAATTTCATTAAATCATGGCTTTCCAATTGAAGAAGGGGCTGATTTTTAATATTCAAATTGGAGTAGTTTGTTTTCTTTAGTAAGAGATTTGTATCTTCTTGTAATAAAAAGATGGTCTCTTGATGATTAAATAATTTTAATTTTTTGAAATTTTTTCTCTTATATCTTAAATTTGTTTGATTCGAAGGAAAATAGTATTTAAAAAACTGGAAAAAAAATTAGAACTATATATTTCTATTTTTGATTACTTTTGAAGGTTTTAAGGATCCGTACATATGAATATGTTCATTTTTCTAATGCATTATGAATATGTTCATTTTTCTAATGCATTAAGTATATAATACTATCAATATAGCCAAAGTAATTATTACTATTATTCTGGCTCATGTTATTTTTAAACAATTCAAATCAGTTTTTCAAGGAATTTTTTTTTATTTATTTTTTACTTCTCCATTATTAATATATATAGATATTGATAAGGGTTGGGGACAGAAAGAATGGGGATTGAGTGATGGTTTAATTTACTTTTTAGATGGTTTCAAAAATCTGTATAAATTAGGAGCTGAAATTACGTTTAGGGGTTACGGTAAACTTTACTTTAAGACCATTTCATTATATAAAATAGAAGTATATAGAAACAAGATTACAAGTAGTTTTTAGGGCAAAGTGTAATATAAATGAACATTTTATTTATTTTAATCTAAATAAAAATTTATATTTTAATATTACGTAAACAAAAAAATTAAATGAGTATAAATAATGAGTATAATAAACGTGCAAATGTATGTCATAAAAAAAAGACTAATTGAATTAAATACCTAAACAATTTAAATTTAAATTTTGTATATAAATCTTACGACTTAAATTTATTAACCGACCAGTACTAGGATTTGGGCATGCTCAACTCCACCTAAATCCGCAACAAGCCTCATGCTCATCATGCCATAACTTTTACATTCATTTACTCAAATGTATCATGGGCTTGCGGTCCTCAATTAACTTTAAAATAAATCCATAACTCATACATCTTCAGTATATAATTTTAATGAAATCTATTATACAACTCACACTTATATAATTACGGAACTCTACATATTAGGACAGAAAATACAGTAATCTAAAACATATATCCTTTGCTTTGAAGAGACTGATTGCAGTAGGGGTTGATGGAAGAAATGACCTAATTGAGACAGGAGTGAGCGTTTCAATATAGTGAATAGAGCTAGATAACATCTCACTCAAGGAAGAAAAAAGAGGACGTCTCTCCTCTTTCTTTCTAATTGTGCAAAAGAAACGCCGAGATAAGGAAGAGGTAGAATCCCGACGTAAAGGAGAGGTTGGACGAGGGTCAAAGTAGTTGCTTTTGGCCATTGATCGGCTGTGAGAGGCTGAGGCGGCACTGAGTTTTGTAAGGAGAGGTTGGACGAGGGTCAAAGTAGTTGCTTGTGGCCATTGATCGGCAGTGAGAGGCTGAGGCGGCACTGAGTTTTGTGAGGGAGGATGATTGATTTTTTTTTTTTTTTTTTTTTTTTTTGTGGTTTAGTTTCAACTAGTTATTTCTAGATGGGTTCGGTTCGGTTTAGTAGTTTTAAAGTGGTTCGGTTTCAATAGTTTTTACTTGGCTTTCTTGATTTTTCTTTACTATTCTTTGGGTTGGGCTTGGTTTGAGTTTGGATTGGTTTTAGACCGGTAATTCTAGATGATGATAATAATAATAATAATAACAGTAACAAAAATAATAAAACAATATGTATAACTATAATATAAGACACAGAATAACTAAATTTACTAATTTATTTATTTATTTATTAATGGAATTTATGCCCAGTACATTTTTTCTTTTCGGCTTATTTCGGTCCAGCCTCCAACCAATATTCTTATTTAAAAATGAATACATGTATTAACCATACTATTGAAAAAACCGTGACTATTGGATCAAAACTCTCTAATTAATTTCAACTTTAATTCTACATTGCACATAAGCACATAAAATTTAATGAATTTTGGAAGAGATTCTTGCGTTCATTAATGGAATTGATTATTAATATATATAATATTATATATATATATATATATATATATATATATAATATATATATTATATATTATATATATATATATATATCAACAACCCCACCATTTATAAATGTTATATTGGGACAGAACATAAGCACATTGCATCACATTTTAAAAACTGGAAAAAAAAAAAAAAAAAAAGGAAAGAAGGGGTTGAAAAGTATGGTTAATCGGATGCATATAGATGCATATACAGAGACACAAAGAAAGGTGCAATAAATATCATCACCATCTTTATTTATCATTGAAGTATTATATGCAAATCCAACTTTTGTAACATTATAAAATTATATATTATTTAGAGACAAAAGAAATTTATTTAAGTAGTATTTGATAAAAAATGACGTGTTTAATGTTAATCATTGACTAATATAAGAAATAAAATTAAAGATAGTTTATGTATAATTGACATGTGAAAACATGTGATAGGAAGTTATTGGAGCAAGCTCACATATAAATATATCACAACAAACACCAAAAAAGAACCAGGAAAAAAAATGGTTTCTCCATCTCTGCTTTTATGGTTACTTCCGCTTCTTCTTGCTTTATTTCTTGTTTTAGGAGGACTAGGAACTAAGAGAAAAGGCAAACCTCCCACCTGGTCCTCCTTAGACTTCCAATAATAGGCAATTTACACCAACTTGGGGGCCTTACCTTTCATTATTCTTATGGCAACTATCCAAGAAATATGGTCCTGTGATGCTTTGCAATTTTGGTCGAGTTCCTACCAGTTATTATCTCCTTCTGCAAGAACGAACAAAAGAGCTCTTATAAAGCAAATACCTCAATAGTTGCAGTCAGACCCTCGCTGGGCTGGTGCTGGAAGGCCTATCTTTACAGCTATCTTGATATAGCTTTTACACCATGATGGAATTACTGGAGAGAAATTGAGAAGAATTTGTGTACTTCAACTTTTTAAGCGCTTAAAAGAGTCAATCATTCCAGAATCCTTTAGAGAAGAAAATGGGTTTTTTAATCGATTCGATTTTAAAATCTTCTTCAGCCTCTTCTTCTCCTGTGACAAGTAAAAAGACTTTGTCTCTTACTGCAAATGTATACCTGTAGCAGTAGCTTTTGGGGAACTTTTCAAGAGAGAGGACCTTGCCCATGAAAGATTCAAAGAATTGATTTCATTGAAGGGTTGGCTATGTTTGGGAGTTTTCTGGCACTGACAGCTGATTTTTTTCCTTATGTGGGTTGGACTTGTTGATAGGCTTATAGGTCTCCATGAAAGACTAGAAAGAAACCTTCAAGAATTTGATGAGTTCTACCAAAAGATTATTGATGATCATATCCAAAAGGGAAAAGCAGATCCTGGACATGAAGATATCATTGATGTTTTGTTGGAAATGGAGAAAGATCAAACTGAATCTGGTAGAATTCAATTCTCTCAAAATCATATCAAAGCAATTCTCATGGTACTATTCTTACTGATTCTTAAAATAAGTTAGAAATTTGAATCTTGATAATTTCTCATTTTGGATTTACAATTCTAGTTCTTAATTTTGGCTTCAATTTTGCACTCTTAGAATAATTCAATTTAACATTTGATGGGACTTCCAATTTTTGCACTCTTAAAATAAGCAATTGTCTATTACCTCTTTTAATCGATTCTACTAACGATTTCATGTAGCAGCTATACATTTCTATAGATATCATTGATCTCGTTGAACAAAGAAAATCCTAACAATTTCTTATACTCAATTTTCTATTTTACCATTATTCTTTAAAGGCAACACAAAATGGGAGGATATGAAAATCAATTTCAGCCTTTATCCCCAAAATTTATTGCCACTTTAATTTTGATTTAATATCTATCGATTTAACCACTTGATTCTTTGAGAAACTAGTTACATAACCGTATTCAGTATTATTATTAAAGTGTTGAAAAGGAAATTGGCAAATCGGGAAATTATTTATTTAATTTCATCAATTAAAGGCTATATTTATTAATTTCATCAATTAAAGCTATTTGAGACATTTATTCTTTATTATACAGAAGGTGATGATATTTAATTGGTACGAGCATTAAAGCTTCTTTCTTATGATTAGTAAGACCGAATTTCTCTTCCATATTAATATCTGCCTCCTTCATATTGTAAGGCAACTCCCAATCAAAGCAAAATAAAAGGTTTGCAAGTGCAAGCTCCACCAAAGCCAATCCCATGGTTATACCAGGACAACTTCTCCTACCACCACCAAACGGTAAAAATTCATAATTCTGCCCTCTAAAATCAATAGAATTATCAATGAATCTCTCTGGAATAAATTCTTCAGGATTTTTCCAAATTTTAGGATCTTTTCCTATCGCCCACACATTGACCTGGATTCGAGTTTTAGGATGAATTTCATAGTCATTGATGTTGAATTGTGAGATGGCTTCTCTTGGAAGTAGCAGTGGTACTGGTGGATGCAATCTCATTGTTTCCTTCAAAACCGACTTTAGGTAGATGAACTTGTCAGTATCACTTTCAGATACTTTTATTTTTTCTCCAATTAGACTTCTAATTTCTTCTTGTGCTTTTCTCATAACTCTAGGGTTCCTAACAAGTTCTGTCATTGCCCAGACCATGACTACTGCTCCAGTATCTACTCCAGCCAGAAATATATCCTGATATATAATGTTAAATTGAATTATTCTGACAGTGTCAAATTCAAGCCAAAACTCAGAATTGTTCAATGTAAGTGTAAATTTTTAATATATCAGAAATTTACATTTTTTGAAATCAGAAATTATCAGTGTGCGAAATTAATTGTGTTAGAGGATAATATTCTTATGCAAGAAATGGAATGATAGTTCTACACTTTAATCTTGTTTTATTTCGTTAATTGGAATGTGCATTATTAATTCATAACAAGCAAACAAAAGAAGAAAACGAATCAAACAATAAAGAGATTTCAAGATTTTGTTTGGTTCACGAACTAGTTTGGAATTTGGAGAAAGCAGATTGTTAGAGAACAAATTGTTGTCTCATAGAACAGAAATTCATGATTCTCATTCAAATTTAAATGTGAAATAACTATTTTAAGAAAAGGGAAACACTTACCGTACAGTTTTATCCGCAAGCAAATACCAAATTTATAATGGAATAAAGATCAATTTAGTCACTTGTTTACCATATAAAAAAAATATCAAATATGACCTTTTTGATCAATTTAACCACCCTGAACTTATTTAAAATGATTAAAAAGCTCATAATTAAGATTTTGGATCAATTTACCCCTGAATTTGTTAAAAATTATAAAAAAGATCGTGTTTAATATTTTGACTAATTTAGTCATTGATTCTTCATTATATTTATAGATATTTAACATTATAGTTGGGATCATGCCGTATAATTTATGAAAAAAATAATTAAATATAAAGGAAAACCATAAAAATTAATTAAATATGAAATAAAGAAAAGCCATATATGAAGTATATTATATTCTATTCAGCTTCACAGGTGATTTTTAAGTTCATAAATATATATTAATTTAACATTAGAAAATTGATATGAAATCTATGTGTTTCTCATTTTGACCAGATTAAAATTATACTGCATACTTTGTAAATTTAATGTATATAAAAATGATGTTTTTATGAATTTAAACTTTAATTTAGAATAATTGAAAAAGTTTCATATGGTGTTTTTAGTATAAAACACGAGGAGAGAATGGTCAATCCTATTGAATTGAATCAATTTATTAATTTATAAAAATTTTAAAATAAATTTAAGGATTAAAATGGGCTAAAAAGTTGAATATAAACTTTTTTAATCATTTTAAATAAGTTCAGACGATAAATTGATCTAAAAAGTCAAATATGACCTTTTTGATCCGCTGAACAAGTTTAAAGGTCAAAGTGATCTTTATTTCAATTTCTAATATTAAACTTTAGTTAATTTTTTAATCATTTAATTATTTATCATTATGTAATAGATATTTTTCAAATGGAATAATTACTATATATGTTGTCCTTATCTTTTGGTCAAATACATTGTAGTAATGATTTTGGTTTTCAAAATTGCACTATTTAGTCCCTCTGTCATATTTTTCCCATTTCATGTTAATCAACATAAAAATAATAATAATAAATGCAAAAGTAACAACGTAAATGTGGTTATATGAAAATGTTTCGATAACAGCTGGATGAACCAGTGTAAAATGTGAACAGTATAAAGACTAAATAGTATAATTTTGAAAACATGTCCTTACAAGAGTTTTTGACTAAACTCTAGATACTATATATACAGTTGACTAAACTCTAGATACTATATATACAGTTATTAGTAATTATTAGTAATTACTACAAAAATAGTGTAAATAATTCCTTTTCTCAAAATAAATAAATAAATCATTTTTCCATTTCCTCTCTCTTTCCCCTTCTGAGAGAGGAAGCTACCGAAAACCAATAACAACACAATAGAGAAAAATAATAGAAACTTCCATCACAATTTGTGATCGAAGTTTTCTAACACGTCACACTATTAATATTTGCATGAAATTTGATGCACTTATTGGTTTACAAATCCTACCAAAGTAATACTTTTCTTTTAATGAAAGAAATCAACTAACTCTTTGCTTCTTTTTTTTTTTCGTTTTATTAATTATTATAACATTTGTGAATCTTATTGGTTCACAAATCCTACCAAAGTAATACTTTCTTTTAATGAAAGAAATCAACTAATAAGATCTCTTTGCCTTTTTTTTTATTAATTATTATAACATTTGTGATTTTGTTTTATTATTATTTTTACAAATAATGAAAGATCTTTCAAGATTATTAGTTGATTTATTTGATTAGTTTTTAGTTTTTATCTATTTTATTTACTATGTTTGTGTATGAATTGGACATTTGGCATGGTTAAATTTGGGTTGTCAACCGGTTTTTTTTGTATCTTTTTGTTTAGTTTTCTTCTAAAATGTAGATTCTCACACGTTAGTGAAATAATGTCCTTGATATATTGATTCACATATGGTGCACTCGGATTTAGACTCAAAGAACAAATAATTAGCAAATATTCCTTTTATTTTATTATGGGAGTGCTAGATCTATATTTATAAATAAATATGAAATTTTTTTTCTAAATTCAAGGCAAAAAATAATGAAATTTTGACACTTTATTTCTCTTTTTTTATTGATTACTTAGGTGAGTATTGAAGAATGATAGGAATAATAACAAAATATTATAATCCGCACATCGCGCGAGCACGTGACTAGTAAATATATAATTTTTAAGGTATAAATGCTTACGTGGCAACATATTAGAGTATGAAACTAATGATGTGCCATTTTTTTTTTCATTATAATTAATTTTTTTTAAATTTAATAAAATCAAAAAGTTTTTTTTATTAAATAATGGAGTTACAAACTAATAAATCTTAATTAATAATTTTTTACATTTAATAAATATTAAGTTTTTTTATTAAAGTTAGAAAAAATCTATCCCATAACGCCCAGTGTTAGAAATCTACAAGATATTAGACAAAAAAGGGTGAGAGAAAAGAGAGGCCTTAAAGCCTTGCAAACCACTTCGATGTTTAAGTTAGTAGTGGAAGAGAATATTAAAATAGTTTATCACTTTATATTGAGATATGGCATCATGTTTATTTAGACCAAGTTCAAATACAGAAAATGAATCCAAAAAATCAACTCCAAATTAAGCAATCAAACTCATTAGTTCAACTACAACCAAAAACTTTAAGCCAATTTCAATTTCAAATTTCTTTCAGTTCATTATATTTTCTTTCAAAGTTCTAGGGTTTCTGTCGATTAAATTGCCAATCCTTGTTAAAAAATAGTATTTTTTAATTTCAATCAATCTCTTTTCTCTGTAAAATGTCATACAATCTCTAATTTCTGTTATGATTTTTTTAATTTTAGCCGGTTAATGAATCCAATAATTAGGATTATATAGCGCATTTATTTCTATAGTTAATTATGAAATATTTAAAATAACATTTAAAAAACCTTAACTGTTTCTTTTTAATATTGAGGTATTAAGCTAGTATCCATTGTAACGCGTCTACAAATTTTGACGTAATCCCTTGTGCTCTGGAGCAAAGGGAGGGGTAATTAGTCCGGAGAGAGTTTGTGTTGCGCATGGATTCAAACCCATGATTTAGGTTATAGTATCGACGCCTGCAAATGCTTAGACCTATTGTAACAGAAAAGGACAAGCCAGTCTTACCAACTATGAGTTAATAAAGTAATTCGTAAATATTATTTCTTAATTCTAATAAAGACCTGTTAAATAGCTGAACAAATTGATTGGTTTCCAAAAAAAAAAAAAAAAACATCGATAGTTTTTAAAATTTTGGTATTAAATGAGGTCCTTTACTAATGTAAAATTTCAGGCCAAGTTATAAAGGATACACAAGCACAACAATTACTTTTAGAGGCACTTTCAATCATTTTAAAATCACTCAACGGGGAGCCAAGCAGTTTTGAATCTTACAATATACAGGACTAAATAGCTATAAATTTAAAAAAGTTTGGAGACGCTGCATTAGAACAATTTTTTTTTGAGGCACAAAAAAATTTTTTCTAAAAACTATAAGTGATTACCTCGCTTTTAATATAATGAAATATATAATCTTTTATTTGATTACAAAAAAAAATATTATTTTAATAAAAAAAATATTTATTTAATAAATAGAAAATTGTGAGCCAAATAAAACACTGGTATTGTAAGTCAAATTATTCACATGCTGATTTTCATATTTGGTTTTAACTTCCTTCTAATATTGAAGCTCTTCTTGTTTTAGATATTACTCATTAATGAAATCTTTCCCTTCCTTCTTCAAAAGGATAAAAAAAAAAAAAAAGAAAAAAATTCTACTTATGAATTTCTACTTAAAAATAAAATTCACTGATAAGTTAAATTAAACACCATTTTCAAAAGAAAAACTACAAACTAACCAAAAAGGCAATCACCTCCACATACTAAAAGAAAAATGAATAAAAATCAATTGAGCCCATGAATTTGTTTAGCATGATAAAAAATGTTGGATTTAACCTTTTTAAGTGTGGATTTACCTTTTTAATCAATTTAAACGCCGCTAAATTTGTTTAAAATGATTAAGAAGTTTGGGTTTAAGTTATTGGGTCTCAATTATTTCCCGTCTCCCGTCGAAATGTTTAAATAATAATTTAAAAAGATCGAATTAATTTTAGGTTAATTTAATCGCGAATTCTTTTCATTGTATTTATAAAACATTCAAAATAAGATTGAGAGTTGGCTATCTAATTTAGTAAAAAAAATTAATTTAATTAATTTAAATATGAAATAAAGGAAAACCATATATAAAGTATATTATACCCTCTTTACCTTGACTAATGATTTTGAGTTCATAAATATATATTAGTTTGAACATTTTAAAATTGATATGAAATTCATGTATTTCTCATGTTGAAAAGATTAAAGTTATAGTGCATGTTTTGCAAATTTACAAGTGTTATAAAAATGACGCTTTTATAAATAAATACATATATATTATGAAATTAGTGGATGTCTTATATAGGTTAGAAGTCTGTATTTTTAATTCTTGTGAACTTTATCTTTCTAATTTCTATAGGACTCTATTAGGGTTCCACTTATGTGTTCCACTTATTATAGTATATATATATTACTATTATATATATATTATATATGAATTGCTCATTAATTAAATAATAATATACTCAGCACTATTTCTTCCCTTTTCCTT